TATGTGGTGCTGAGGATTTAACCCAGTGCCTCACATGTGTGAGGTAAACACTATTTGAGTGTACTCTATGAGCCAGCCCCGCCCCTCCACATCCCTCCACATCCCTCCCCCCGCTTTTATTTTATTTTATTTTTTTTTGCATTGATGAGATTTGAACCTGGGCCTCATGCATGCCAAGCAATTACTCTGCTGAGCCCACTGAGCTATACCCCATACCTAGGGACTACTTATAAGTCTGTTATATCCATATAGCACTTTGTGTTTGTTATAAATTGATGTATATGCCCATCACTCTCTGGTTCAGGAATTTCCTGAAAGTAGGGGTTATGTCTTATACTGCTATGTATAAAATTCAACTAGGACATGTTAAGTATCTACTATATGCCAGGAACTTATAGAACTTAAATTTAATGGTAAGTAAATATTCATTGAATTTTAATTTTTTCAGTGTGTCCAGAGTGTATATGCCAGTAAGATCATAAGCAGTGATCGAGATCTCTTGGCAGTGGTATTCTATGGTACCAAGAAAGACAAAAATTCAGTGAATTTCAAAAATATTTACGTCTTACAAGAGTTGGATAATCCAGGTCAGTAATGTTCTAAGCTCAGTGTTTCCCTTACGTGAGAATGTCACTACCCTGAACAAAGAGGGGTATGAAGGAGGAAGCAGGTTCCATCTTGTTAAGGAGTCTGCTTTCCTACAAGTGGTCTTTGTGGTAAACAGCTGTGGAGTGAGAAAGAAACCCTGGCCCTTCTGTTACCCTGTGGTGAAGGTGGCCACTGACTCTTCTGGTTTTTCTGTCCATTTGATTCTTTGATTTAATCAGGTGCAAAAAGAATGCTGGAGCTTGACCAGTTTAAGGGGCAGCAGGGAAAAAAACATTTTCAAGATCTAATTGGCCATGGATCTGACTACTCATTGAGTGAAGTGCTGTGGGTCTGTGCCAACCTCTTTAGCAATGTCCAGTTCAAGATGAGTCATAAGAGGATCATGCTGTTCACCAATGAAGACGACCCCCATGGCAATGACAGTGCCAAAGCCAGCCGGGCCAGGACCAAAGCTGGCGATCTCCGTGACACAGGTGGGCATTTTTCTTATTCTTTTAAATTGGCACTTAATTTTATTGCTTTCTTTATAGCTGATCTCAAGCATTTGCTTTTCACCATCCAGAGTCAAATGAAAGAATAATATGAAGCCAGGGGAAGACACCTGTGTAACATTAACACTGAAAATGGCCACGCCAGAGAGATGTGGTGGCACATGTCCTCAATCCCAGCTGTTCTAGTTCTACAGGCTGAGGTGGGAGGATCACTTGAGCACATGAGTATGAGGCCAGTCTGATCAACATAGTGGACCCAGTCTCAAAAAAAGAATAAAGAAAATGACCTTACTACACTGTCTGAAGGACTTTAGAGCCCTTGAGCTTGCCACCAGAGCAAGCTTATCTTGACTTTTTTTTTTTTTTTTAACTGAGGTTTGAACCCAGGTGTGTTCTACCACTGAGCTACATCTCCAGCCCTTAATTTTTATTTCTTTTGAGGCAGAGTCTTGCTAGGTTGCCATGGATGTCTTCAAACTTGAAATTCTCGTGGCTCAGCCTCCTGAGTGGCTGGGATTACAGGCTTGGGCCACCATATCCTGCACTTGTCTTGATTTTAACACTACCTTGAATGAGGTTATTTGCATAAGTTGTCTCAAGTAAATATAACAGCTAATTTATTTAGCCACTTTCTCTCTAATTCCTGAAATTGTTAATCTGATTTGGTGGGGGGTGCTTTTAAAAGCGTTTGTATTTAACTGAAAAGAATCTTCAAGTTGGACATGGTGGTGCATGCCTGTAGTCCCAGCTACTCAAAAGGGTGAGGCAGAAGATTGCTTGAGTCCAGCAATCTGGGGCCAGCCTGGGCAACATAGTGAGATCCCCTTCTCTTTAAAAAAAAAAAAAAAAAAAAATTCAAATTTTCTAAAAATTCTTTTTTCTTCCTCATTTTTGTCTGTGTACCAGGAATCTTCCTTGACTTGATGCACCTGAAGAAACGTGGGGGCTTTGATATATCCTTGTTCTACAGAGATATCATCAGCATAGCAGAGGATGAGGATCTTGGGGTTCACTTTGAGGAATCAAGCAAGTTGGAAGACCTATTGAGGAAGGTTCGTGCCAAGGAGACCAGGAAGCGAGTGCTGTCCAGGTGAGCACTAAGCCAGGGTTGCTGCCCCCACGTCCCCAAGCAAATCACCAATAATGTGTTGCTTTGACATCCCTGGGCTGTGCTGTTGTCTTGCTGTGTTTCTTCAGAATATCAGCTTCATGAAGGATAGCACTGTCTGATTGCTTCTCCAGAAGAGCACAGGTCCTCCATTTCCTTGTGGCCTAAGTGAATCCTCAGCTGTACTCCTAATACACTCTTTGCTTTCTTCTGTGTTGGTGATGATAGTAACACCCAACTCATTAGATTATTTTGAGGAATAAATGGAAAACAAAATGTATCAAACAGGTTATATGGAGCAAAACCTCAATAAATGTTTGTTATCATCATTGTTAAAAGTGTATATTCTAGAGGCTGAGGCAGGAGTATCCCAAGTTTGAGGCCAGCCTCAGCAATATAGCAAGACCTTATCTTAAAACAAAAAAAATAAAAAAGAGGCTAGAGTTGTGGCTCAGCGGTAGAGCACTCACCTAGCACGTGCAAGGCACTGGGTTCAATCCTCAGCACCACATAAAAATAAATAAAATAAAGATATGGTGTCCAACTACAACTTAAAAAAAAATCATTAAAAAAATAAAAAGGACTGAGGATGTAGCTCAGTGGTAAAGCATCCCTTGGTTCAAACCTCAGTACCACAGACACAAACAAAAAAAATTGTCTTAATTTAGTCAGTCATGGTGGCCCATGCCTATAATCCTAACTGCTCATAGGCTGGGGCAGGAGGAATCTCAAGTTTGAGGCTAGCTGAGCAACTTAGCAAAACTCTGTCTCAAAGGAAAACATAAAAAGGGCTGGAGATGTAGCTCAGTGGTTGAGTGCTTGTCTAGCATGCACAAGGCCCTGGGTTGAATCCTCAGTACCAAAAGACAACAAAAATGTATTATTCTGATTTCTTGTAAACTTGAGTCCAATAGGAACCAGACTGTTAGATTCTTTCGAAGAGTCTTCATATTAATGCTAAGGGCTTCTCAGTGTTTCTTCCTAAGGAGAATGCCTCTTTTGTTTGCTTTTTTTTTTTTTTTTTGCAGTGCAGGAAATGGAACCCAGGGTCATGTGTATGTTAGGCAGGTGTTCTTCCACTGAAGCTACCTGCCGCTGCCCCAGGCTTCCTTTTAGACTGGCTTCTCAATATAGGATATAACACTTGGTAATTTTTGAGAGTTTACTGACTTTTTTTTTTTTTTTTTTTGAGTGTTGGGGATCAAACTCAGGGTCCTGTGCATGCTAGGGACATATTCTATTACTGAGTTACATCCCTGTTTCCAATAGTACATTCTTTATCATTATCCTAAGTAGTTAATATACTTTGAAACTAATTTTTTTGGTGGACATTGAGATGATATTATAGCAAATTCCATTGTATTATTATTTTTTTTTTTTAAGAGAGAGAGAGAATTTTTTTTAATATTTATTTTTTAGTTTTTGGCGGACACAACATCTTTGTTTGTATGTGGTGCTGAGGATTGAACCCGGGCCGCACGCATGCCAGGCGAGTGCACTACCGCTTGAGCCACATCTCCATCCCTCCATTGTATTATTAAAATGCATTTAGAACTTGCTTAGGGTTACTGTGGTGAATAAAGCAAATTGAAATTTAAATGTCTTGAAGGAATTGCAAATGGGAAAATACTTTTTTTTTTTTTTTTTTTTTGATACTGGGTATTGAACCCAGGGGTGTTTCACCACTTTCCCCCTGAGCTACATCCTAACCTGTTTTTTAAAATTTTTTATTTGGAAAAGAGTCTTTCTAAGTTGGTTAGGGTCTCACTAAGTTTCTGAGGCTGAACCAGATGTGGTGGCTCATGCCTGTAATTCCAGTGGCTCTGGAGTCTGAGGCAGGAGGATCACAGGTTTGAAGTCAGCCTCAGAAACATCAAAGAGGCTGTAAGCAACCTAGTGAGACCCTGTCCCAAAATAAAAAATAAATCGAGTTGGGGATGTGACCCAGTGTGACCCAGTGGTTAAGCCCTGTAGAGTTCAATCCCTGGAACAAAAAAAAAAGAAAGAAAGAAGTTGCTGAGTCTGGCCTTGAAAGTGCAATCCTCCTGCCCTAGCCTCCTAAACTGCCAGGATTATAGGCATGGTCTACCATGCCTGGTTTTATACAGTCTCTGAGTCCATGCTTTCATTTTTCTCTCAGGTTAAAGTTTAAGCTCAACAAGGATATAGCACTCACTGTAGGCATTTATAACTTGGTCCAGAAGGCTCACAAGCCTTTTCCAATAAGGCTCTATCGGGAAACAAATGARCCAGTGAAAACCAAGACCCGGACATTTAATGTAAATACAGGCAGTTTGCTCCTGCCTAGTGATACCAAGAGATCTCAGGTATGTAGATGTGCTTTCTTACCAAATTTTCTCCTATTGAAGAGTTAACAGGGAGGGAAGACAGTAATTAGCCTAACCAGTTAAATTATTTCCATGTGTGTGTCTTTGTATTTAAGATATTGGGGCTGGGGTTGTAACTCAGTGGTAGAGCGCTTGTCTCACAGGCGTGAGGCCCTGGGTTYGATCCTCAGCATCACATAAAAATAAATAAACAAAATAAAGGTATTGTGCACAACTAAAAAATAAATATATTTTTTAAAAAGATATTGTGTCCATCTACAACTAAAAAAATATTTTAAAAAAAGATATTAAGAATCAGGGCTGGGTGCTGGGGTTGTGGCTCAGCGGTAGAACACTCACCTAGAACATGCGGGGCCCTGGGTTTGATCCTCAGCACCACATAAAAATAAAATAAAGGTATTGTGTCCAACTACCACTAAAATAAAATATTAAATAAAAAAAAGAAACAGGGCTGAGGATGTAGTTCAGTGTTAGAGCTTTTGCCTAACACGTGCCAGGCCCTGAGTTCAATCCCTAACACTGTAAAAAAGAAAAGAAAAAGACAAGAGATATTACACTTTGGAACTATGGCATATGAATCAGTGAGATCCTGAGAGCTAGGGAGTTAAGCAGCCCCAGTATTGGTAAGAAGTGGCAGTAGAAGCTTCGGCTCTTGACCACTCAGCACATGCTGCACTAACAGTCTAATTCCCTGATAAAGTACAATGGCAGAAAGTGTTTCCTAGTTAACTAGGGAGACGAGAAATTAGTGACATGTTACATTTGAGGTGGACTTTTTTAAAGAGAATTTCTTTTTGCTAGACTATTATAACATTTCCCTTACTTTGAAATGACACACGTCTGCCTTTCTGAACCTGAACTAGAGTACAAAACATTGTCCTTCCTCATCTTCTCACCTATATTCAATCTATAGAAGGATTTGACATTGAAAATTAAAATGAGTCATCCTTTTTTTTTTTAATCACGCTAAATGTGTGTGTGTGTGCGCGTGTGCTCATGTGTCTGCCTTCCACATTGAGACCTAACCTGGTACCTTTATATGTTAGGGATGGGGCTGGGAGCTCAATACATGTTAAGTAAGGGAAGGAATAAATACCTGAAGAATATGGCCTTTGGCATTGGAAAGATCTGGGTTTAAAGCCCAATGCAGTTGTATAACCTGGAATGTTACCCAACCATTGGGCTTTAGTTTACTCATTGGTTGAACAATTTGCAGTGCTGGGTGGAACTAAGGTTTCTTAAATGCTAGGCAAGTGCTATACCACTGAGCTAAATCCATAGCCCTTGTTCAGTTGTTTTAATTTTAATTTTTTGGGGGGGTACTGGGGATTGAATTCAGGGGCACTCAACCATCGAGTCACATCCCCAGCCGTATTTTGTATTTTATTTAGAGATAGGGTCTCACTGAGTTGCTTAGTGCCTCACATTTGCTGAGGCTGGCTTTGAAATCATGATCCTCCTGCCCTTAGCCTCCCAAGCCACTGGGATTACAGATGTGTGCCATTGTGTCTGGCCCTTGCTTAGTTTTTAACATTTACTTCCTGGGATTGTTACAGAACATAAATTAGATGACAAACCAAAGTACCTGGCAGTCACTCAGTAAATACTAATTCCCTGTTGTAAGAAGAGATGCACTGGTAAGCCATCTTCTTGCTTAAAGAGAGCTGACTTTAACTTGTTGGTGTCCTGTGCACCAGTTTGCATTTTCATGTAGCCTCTATGCTTCTTTCCTGTAGACCTATGGGAGTCGTCAGATTGTACTAGAGAAAGAGGAAACGGAAGAGCTGAAGCGGTTTGATGAGCCAGGTTTGATTCTCCTTGGCTTTAAGCCCTTGCTAATGCTGAAGAAGCACCATTACCTGCGGCCCTCCCTGTTCGTTTACCCTGAGGAGTCCCTGGTAAACGGTAAGTAGCATAGGCCAAGAATAAATGAAGGACTCTTGACACAGGAAAAGTTTATTGAGCCGCATTTCCTGAACGGGTACTGCTTGGATACTGTATAGGAGATGTTAATGGGATATTTTGGAAGTGTTTTATGTTCAAATTTTGGATATCTGGGACTAAACAAAGTTAAAGAGATTTTTTTTCAGGACCCTTAGTATATTAACATGTATTGTGAAAATCCAGGAGGGGCTATGAAATTGAAGATTTTAAAAACATTTTCCTGTGGAATTATTTGAGGCATCAGACAAGAGAGCAAAAAAACTCAAAAGCTCCCACAGCCTTTTCTCTGTTAGTGGCCATTAAAGATGATGTGGCTAGGCACAGTGATGCACTCCTGTAATCCCAGCAACTTGGGAGGCTGAGGCAGGAGGATCACGAGTTCAAGGCCAGCCTCAGCAAAAGGAAGATGCTAAGCAACTCAGGGAGACCCTGTCTCTATAGAAAATACAAAATGGGACTGGGGATGTGGCTTAGTGGTTGAGTGCCCCTGAGGTCAATCCTTGGTACCCCACCCCCTCAAAAAAAAGGAAAAAAAAAAAAAAAGATGATGTGAACTCTGCCATTATGTGTACTGGTTCTTTCCAGACCTCTGTTCCTTTGTTCAGTAGGAACCCCCCAACCCTCCCACCCCCAGTTTGGACCTGATTAAGTTTTCCTTAGTGTTTGGAGCTCATGTTGTTAGCCTAATGTCAGTAAAGTGAACTGACCTTAATAATTCACACTCCTAAAGAGCGTGTTTGAGGATTCCAACCCTGATTCTTTTCCTTTCTGTGCCTCTGTTGCCCCCCACATTTCCTTCATCTCTTGCTCCCACACCCTTTACCTATGGAAATATCTTTAAAGAAAATGGAAGAGAAATCGTGAGACCTTTGTTTTCTAGGGAGCTCAACCCTGTTTAGTGCTCTGCTTACCAAGTGTCTGGAGAAGGCGGTCTTAGCAGTATGCAGATACACACCCCGCAAGAACACCCCCCCTTATTTTGTGGCTTTGGTGCCACAGGAAGAAGAGCTAGATGACCAGAAAATTCAAGTGACTCCTCCAGGTACGTAACAGATTTCCAGGGCTCCTGAACTTTGCCCATCTTTGGAATCCCTCCTGAGGTCCTGATTCAGGCCTGCTGAATCACAGTTCCCAGGAAAAAGGCCTGGGAAACAGGTATTTTTAAGTTTCTTAGGTGAACGATGTGCAACCAGGTGAGGCCACTACATACAGTTTGGTTGAACAGTGCACAGTATGTCTGGCTGTTCATGGCTGGTCCATAATTAGGGTTGAGAATTGTCTACATTTGGACTATTTGCAGGTTACTGACAGAAGTTCAAGGCCTCACTGCTGACACCTTTTCTTTATTGAAAGCCGTGTTTGTTACCCCTTGTAATGCTTAATGTTTGATTTATCTCCTGTATATTCACCGTGGTGGTGGAAAGAACATGGATTTTGAAGTCAGGCTTGACTTTGTCCTTTGCTTGAGTGTCTGAAAGTTTGTTTCCCTTATTTCAGATCCATGTCTGCCACTTGTTAGCTAGCTAACATGGCAGATAGCTTAAGCTTTCTATTTATATTCTTTATCTTAGAGATGGGAATTCTGGAACATCTTTCCCTTAAGATTGTTTTACCTCTGAGATAAGTTACTACTATGTAAGTTCCAGGGCTGAGAGGTGTAGTTCCATGTAGAGTTACTGGCCAGCATGCATGAGGCCCTGCACCATGATGGTGCTGGTGATGGTGGTGGTGATGGTGGTAATGGTGGTGGTGATGATGATGTGAAGTGCCTAGCACAAAGTAGTTGGCCCATGGTAGTCTACCTTCTCTAGCCATGTGGATAAAATTAACTTTATAGAGTAATTATTAGATATATTTTTAATCCTGGTTATCAGAATACTCAGTTTTAAGCTATTATCTCTCAACTCCAAATTCACCCTGTTAGGGTTTGTGCTCCTAAGGCTGAGATTGTTCAAACCCAGGTAGCTCTCAGGCTGTGTCAATAGTAGCTGCTAGAGGGAGGCCAGAGGGCAAGTGAAGGAAAGAGACTTATTTCTTCTTGTGGGCTCAATGCTGTCAGCATTGCCAGCAAGGATCCTTCATCTGGGGGCAATTCATTATAGTGTCTAGATTTTTCAATCCTTCTAGAACCAGCCAGTAACTCTACCAAGATCACCCTAATAATCTTTATCCCTCACTTTTTTATTTTTAACCAGGTGTTGGAGGGTAGAGAGAAAAAGGAAAGACATTGAAGCTCAGAGGAGCTGGAAGTTAGCCCTCAGTGGGAGGCACTCTAGCTGGTTCTAGATATATCAGAAAAACTGGAGAGGGACTGAGRATGTAGCCTAGAGGTAGAATGCATGTTCAGCATTCTTGGGTTCTGTTGCTAGCACCAAGGAAAAAAAAAGATGGGGACTGGTGCCAGGTACCTCTGCTGCCAGATACAGAGTTTTTCCTTGCTGGGGCAATATAGTCAGGAGCAGTGAATATATAGGAAGGGATATCTCTCTTGCCTTCTGTTCTTCCTCTGGAGTCAGAGCATCCTAGGCAACCAGGTGTCAGCTGGTAAAGGAGAAATGAGATTTGCAGGGCCCTAGTCACAGTATTGCAGGACATAGAGGTTGAATTTGGAACCGAGACAGACAGCTACAAAATAAATTTCAGAAAACCTACCTCCTTTTTTTAGGCTTTCAGCTTGTCTTCCTACCTTATGCTGATGATAAACGGAAAGTGCCTTTTACTGAAAAAGTCATGGCCAACCCTGAACAGATAGAYAAGATGAAAGCCATTGTTCAGAAGCTGCGCTTCAAATACAGGTGAGCACTCAGCAGTCTTGACCTTCTTCTGGAGGACCTTCTGAGTTGAGTCAACAGAAATTCAAGGTAGCCAGGCATGGCAGCACCTGCCTATAATCTAGCCACTCACCAGACTTGAGTCAGGAAGATCGCAAGTTTGAGGCCAGCCTGGGCAACTTAGTGAAAGCCCCCATTTCAAAATAAAATTTTTAAAATGTTGGGGCTGGGCACATAGCTCAGTGGTAGAGCACTTACCTAGCATTCTCAAGTCCCTGGGTTCTATCTCTAGTACCAAGAGACCAAAAAAAAAAGAAAGAAAGAAAGAAAAAAGTTCAAGTTAGGTAGGCATAGGCCATGAGAATATGATTTTATCCTTTTTAGTTAACTGGTAAATTGTGACTTCTTGTTGAGAACTTGTAAAAAGCTACATCGAGAATGGAAGTTCTAATCATACTGAAGACACTGGGAGTGTGCTTATAGACTTAGAAAGTCAGATTAGTTGGTTGAACAAGTTCAAAAACTAGCAGTAGGGGAAGATTCTTAGTTGGTTTTCTCCTTGATTATGTTTGTTGTCACCCAGTGAGAAATTGTTACAGGCTTTAAAGAATAATTATGTAATTTAAATAATTTTCTTTTACGCACATGATAGACCATCTTTTAAAAGCTTGCATGTTGTAACACCACACATAATATTTTTCACATCTTTGTTTTTTGTTTTTTTAATATTTATTATTTTTTAGTTAGACACATTATCTTTATTTCATTCTTATGTGGTGCTGAGGATCGAACCCAGGACCTCACATGTGCTAGGCGAGCGTTCTACCGCTGAGCCACAATCCCAGCCCCTCACATCTTTGTTTTCTTTTCTTTTTTTTTTTTTTTTTTAAGAGAGAGTGAGAGAGAGAGAGGGACAGAGAGAGAGAGAGAATTTTNTTCTTAGTTCTCGGCGGACACAACATCTTCGTTTTTTTTTTTTTTTTGTATGTGGTGCTGAGGATCGAACCCGGGCCGCACGCACACTAGGCGAGCACGCTACCGCTTGAGCCACATCCCCAGCCCTCACATCTTTGTTTTTTATTATTTTTTTGTGGCAGGTACTGGAGATTGAACCTAGGGGCGCTTAACCATTGAGCCATATCCCTAGCCCTATTTTGTATTTCATTTACACAGGGTCTTACTGAGTTGCTTAACACCCCTCTTTTGCTGAGCCATTGGGATTACAGGCATGTACCATTGCACCTGGCACATCTTTATATTTTTTTTAATATTTATTTTATCATGGTAAGAACACTTAACATGAGAGTACCTTCTTAACAGATTTCCATTTGGCATTATTAACTATAGGCACAATGTTGTTCAGATCTGCATTTTTGTTTTAGCAGATCTCTAGTACTTATTTTTCTTGCATAATGGAAACTTATACATGTTAATTAGAAATTCTCAACTTTCCCTGCCTTTACCCCTAGCAAATGCCATTCAGCTCTCTGCTTCTATGAGTTTGACTATTTTAGATACTTCATTTAAGTAGGCAATATTTGTCCTTCTGTGACACTGGGTTACTTCCCTTAGCACTATGTCTTCAAGATTCTTGCATCCATTGCTGGGGATTGAACCCATGGTCTTGTGCATACTTGGCAAATGGTCTACCACTGAGTCCCAGCCACAGCTGTAATCTTTCTTTTATTATTCATATGAACCTTGAAAGTTTGGATTTGTTTTCATTTTATAGATGAAGAAACAGGGTTACACTAGGCATGATGGTACATACCTGTATGCTAGCACTCAGGAGACTAAGGCAGGAGGATTGTTTGAGCCCAGGAGTTGAAGACAGTGAGACCCTGTCTGGAGGAGGTGAGAAAGGAAAGAAAAAGATAAAGAAACTGAGACTTATAAGGGCAAAACATCTTGCTAGGACTCACCTAACTAGAAAGAGATGGAGCCCATTCAGCTTTACAACTGTCTAGATTCACACCCTCTTTTTAAATTTTTTAGCTATATTTTTGTGTATGTGTGGTGCTGATGATYGAACCCAGTGCCTCATGCATGCTAGGTGAGCACTCTACCACTGAGCCACAATCCCAGCCCTAGATTCATGTCCTCCTTACCCCCATTCCACTGCTACTGCATACAGGAAGAAAGTACACTCAGGATTCTGAATCTCCCTCTCCCCACCATCCATCCTTTGTCTTTCCTCTGTATTTACACAGCCCTACCTCTTCTTGTTCTGGTTCTGGCCATGGTGTCCAGTGACAGGGAGCAGGTTCGCTTTGAAGTTAACTTTTGGATCTCTAGCATTAGATAAAATCAGCGAGAGAAGTTGGTTTGTGACAGGATTCCCAAATATTTTACTTGGAGTGTTTTTTCAGCTGGATTTCTTTAATTTTATTATTTGGTTTCATTTTTAAAATGTTTAACTTGTTATGTTTTGATTTGTTAATGTTATTCTCATTGTTTTAACAGAAGTGACAGCTTTGAAAACCCAGTGCTGCAGCAGCACTTCAGGAATCTGGAGGCCTTAGCTTTGGATTTGATGGAGCCTGAACAGGCAGTAGATCTGACATGTAAGAATGTTGGACTGACTCAAGAAGTCGTTTTTTACTGGAGGCCTTCTTTTTGATTTCTCTCTGATCTAGTAATGTGGATGCATTCCCTAACTCTCTAGARACTGAACACCATCATCTAGGCTATCTGCTTGAGAGATTTTTCTAGACCTGATTAGAATGCTGGGAATGATTCTGCAGTGAGACGAGGAGAGAGTGCCAGGCTCCTGAAACCTGCTTCTGAACTAGGCCACCTCATGCCTGCATGTTGGTGGAAGTTAAATAACATAATATTTATCAAGTGCCTACCATGTCCCTGAACTGTTGTCCTATGTGTTGATTCATTTAATATTTGTAAGTATGAGGTAGGGGCTTTAGTTGTCCTGATTTTACAGAGAAGAGAGTGTTTTGCCCCATGTGCAGATACTTAATTGTGAGTGGTGCTTCCAGGCTCAGAACCCAGTGACTCCTGCCTGAGCCTGTGCACTGCCCTCTGTGCTACTGCCTCTCCATCAGACTGTGCATGCTCTGCCGTGAGAAAAGCCAACTTATTACCAGCTTTGCCTTGGCTTTCCAAGTGGGGCTTCTCTGACCTTGCTGTAGTCCCCTTCTGATTGTGATTCTCTTACCTATCTGTAAGAGGACCCAGGAAGTTTAGTGGCACAAGTAAATAACCACAGGAAGCAGATTGGATTTAATGAAGATTCGTACCAGGGTTAGAAAGATGAGAACAACTGGCTGGGCCACTCAGCTTCCATGTTATTCATGGTCTTCTATACCAGGCACAAGTTTGTCATGACTGTGTAGCCACATCTGGCAGAAGAGAAACACTTGAGTTAAGCAGCCCTTCTTTTCCTGTAAGGCCTTAGGCAATAAGAAGTATAGTCATCTTTCCATATCCTTGGGTTTCTCATACATTGATTTAGCCAACCATGGATCAGAAATATTTGCAAAAAATTGCTTCTGTGTTGAACATGGATGTGTCATTTTCCCTTAAATAACACAGTAAAACAACAGTGTATTTATGTAGCATTTCCATTGTATCAGGTATTATAAGTAATCTGGAGATGTTTCAAAGTATACATGAAAGTGTGTAGGTTTTATGCACATACTACAGCATTTTAAATAAGGGATGTGAGCATCTGAGGGTTTTGATTATCTGCATGGGTCCTGAACCATCTCCAATGGATACCACAGGACACCGAACTTGGAAAATGCTGGCAGGACTTTATTGAGTGTTTTCGTGTCCAGGTCAGCTGCTTTGAAGCAGGCCCTTCCCCTCACCCTTCATCCCAGCAGTTAGGTGCTCTTTCCTCTCTTCTCCTAGAGTTACAACTGGACAGGACACTGGGGTACAATACTCACCTGGCCACTCTTTTGTATTTTCATTTTTCTAGTGCCCAAGGTTGAAGCAATGAATAAAAGACTAGGCTCCCTGGTAGATGAGTTTAAGGAACTCGTCTACCCACCAGATTACAATCCTGAGGATAAAGTTAGCAAGCGAAAACAAGGTAAGGAACTGGCTGTGGACATGCAATGGGTTCTTTTGAAAAGTTGTCTTCATGGTCTTATCACAGAGGGAGAGTAATAGCCTTTTAGAAATTTTTAAACCAGCTGGGCATCATGGCACATGCTTGTAATGCCAGCTACATGGAAGGCTGGGGCAGGAGGATTGCAAGTTCAAGGCCAGCCTCAGCAACTTAGTGAGACCCTATCTCTAGATAGATGGGGCTGGGGATGTAGCTCGGTGGTAGAGTGCTTGCCTAATGTGTGAGGTCCTGGGTTCCATCCCTAATACTGCAGAAATTTGTCCCCTGCCAGGCACGGTGACACACACCTGTAATCCCAGCTGCTCAGGAGGCTGAGATAGGAGGATCATGAGTTCAAAGCCAGCCTCAGCAAAAGTGAGATGCTAAGCAACTCAAACCCTGTCTCTAAATAAAATAAAAAATAGGGCTGGGGATGTGGCCCAGTGGCTGAGTGCTCCCGAGTTCCATCCCTGATACCCACCCCCCCAAAAAAATTATCTCCTGAAAAAGTGATACATTGATACCAAACCCAAGAAGGGATCATATTTTTGTATAATTTCACCAATTCTGGACTTTATAACTATTTTAAGATATTTATACAAAAATTGGTAAAGATACAATCAGAGATATGAAAAATTGTGCTCTAAATGCATAATAAGAATTGTAATGCATTCCGTGTCTCATATAAATTTAAAAAATTAACTATAAAAAAATTGGAAAAAGAGAAAATTATGTCCTGATTGTTTTGTAATTCTGCAGATATGAGTGAGATGTAGCTTTTTTTTTTTTTTTTGGTTGTAGGGTTGTAGATGGACACAATACCTTTATTTTATTATTTTATTTACTTACTTTTATGTGGTGCTGAGGATAGAACCCAGTGCCTCACATGTGCTAGGCAAGCGCTCTACCACTGAGCTATAACCCCTGCCCGAGATACAATTTCACTGGACTGTTTTTTTAAATGTGTACTTCCTGTTCTTGGCATTTACCATTTTTTCTATTGGACTATCCTTTTTCTTACCTGGGAATCCAACATTTTCCTACTATGAGGCTCACGTTTATGGAACAGTCACCATTTTGGAATAGTTGTCTTAGATTGTAATCTTTTGGGCTCTCTTGGTCAACTAAAGCCAGACTTGGGCGTTGTTTACCTGACAAATGAGGAAAGGGCACCACAAGAGGGTAGGTGGTTGCCATGGTGCTTTCTCCCTTTTGCATTAGGAGTGACTCCTGTAGTGCCCTGGGAACCCACTGGCAGAGCTCCTTACATGCTGACCGTGGGTTAGTGATGATGTACTTGTCTGCATGTTTGTCTCAATCAGCCTGCGTGTTCTTATCACCTGGTACCTTGAAACTTAGTGTTTGTAAATACTTCCTCATTTACAAACACTTTTTCTTTTCTTTTTTTGTGATGCTGGAGGGTTAGAGCCTTGAACTTGCTGAGAAAGCACCCTACCACTGAGCTATGTCCCTAGCTGCTGTAAGTGCTTTTTTTTTTTTTTTTTTTTAATATTTATTTTTTAGTTGTAGTTGGACACAATACCTTTGTTTTATTTATTTTTATGTGGTACTGAGGATCGAACCCAGGGCCTCACACATGCAAGGCAAGTGCTTTACCACTGAGCCACAACCCCAGCCCCCTGTAAGTGCTTTTTGAAGGAAAAATGGGAAGCAACTATTTGCTCACCCAGAGTAATTGTTTTGGGTAAACTCATGATATTCATACTGCTGGAAACTCCCTTCTAGGTATTAGTTACATTTTTTATTATATCAATAAATAAAGGTGTCTTGTCAAGATACCTGTCTTCCCCCATATACTATAGGGTAGGCATCATAGCTTTATGAAAAATGGTTCACTGTAGCCTAAATCCTAAGGGGCCCCATTATGTGCAGCTGGGATGCCACTGGTAGCACATTTAGTTCTTCTCTCCTGACCCTTTCCCCCAGATGATGGAGTTTCTGGAAGTAAAAAGCCCAAAATGGAGGTATCTGAAGAGGAGCTGAAGGCTCACATTGCCAAGGGGACGCTGGGCAAGCTCACGGTGCCCATGCTGAAGGAGGCCTGCAGGGTGCATGGGCTGAAGGGTGGGCTGAAGAAGCAGGAGCTGCTGGCTGCTCTCACTGAGCACTTCCAGAAGGACTGATGCTGACCACACACCCTCCCCGTGGCGAAGTTGCCTGCTTTTGTTCTCACCAAGTTAAAGGTGTTTTTCCTGAGCTGGGAGGAGTTGCCTTGCAGAAGCTGAGGACTTTACATTTGAAACTTGTTGGCACAGAGACCACATGGCTCTCTCACTTGGCTTATGCCTTACTCTATGTGAATAAAGAACCTTGACTTTGTACTGTGTACTGCTCTTTAGAGTGCAGGAGAAAGGTATGTCTGCCTTGCATCCAGAGAGCACTGGCCATCAGCTCTGAGCTTAATTTTCTCTCCTACTGGGAACACACATCGTGATGGAAACAGAAACCAAAAACAGAAGGGATGGGGAAGGATGTCACAGTCCAGGTCATATAAACATACAGGTGCTTCAGGAATGACAAGCCTTAGCAAGATTCACTCTCCCCATCCCTGTCCTCCCACTTGTTTTCCTTCAAACATGCTGTATACTAAGGTCTAAAAATCAGATTTCAGAAGCAATGARAGTAACATTTTAAATTTTGGTATCATTTGCTTCATGAGTAAATAGCAGCTTCCTCAGATTGCGTTCCTCTGAATATGCTATTAAAGTTTGAAGACATAAATTTTCTGTTTTCCTCAGAATTAGTTCCAGTATATGAGAAATTAAGAGTTATTTTTCAGAGGAGCATGGGAAGTTCAAGTTGAGAAGTCTAGTGTTAGGAGAACAGGAAGAAGAGGGAAATGTCTCTCTATTCTTCCTCCCCATCCCTCTATCTTCCTGGTGACTTTTCTGCTCTCTGATGCTCCTGCTTTTGAAGAATTAGCCTGAGGTGCCATCCCAGTTGGTGGCCATACCTGTAATCCCAGCTACTCAAGGAGAGAAAGCAATGTAAAGGTTTGTATCCTCTGAAGAGGGCTTGAGATTCAGAGTTTGTAGCTTCTGTGCTGGAGCTACAGACCTAGAAAGGAGGAGTATGTCGGAGGGCTAGTTTCCTGCTATAAAATCTACAGCCTTGGATTATCTGCTCTGAAGTTTGTACATTTTTAAACCTATATTTGTTTTTTGTGTTTGAAAAGAGGTGTTATGGATTGTAGCTCAGCTTGCCTAGCACATGTGAGCACTGGGTTTGATCCTCAGCACCACATACAAATAAATAAAGGTATGTTGTCCATTTACAACTAAAAATATTTTTTAAAAAGAGATATTACATTCTTTTGGCATTTCTTTCCTTGGCAAGTCAGCAAGTCATTGGAGAGGAAAGATTTTTCCAATTAGAAAGTGCTTAGTACCTGCTGATTCTTATTGTTGAGAAATTGGGCCATTCTCATTAAATGTAGCTTGCTTGGAAGCTCTGGATTCCGGAGAGGGCCAGTCTACAAAGACAGTCATCTGCAAGTGAGAGGATGAGAAGGTGCCATCATTGCACCCTTGTTTTTCAGCCCTGGGTGTCCTAGGTAGTGAGGACAAACCCTCCAGTGCATTCCTGGTTGGCTTTTCTGGGTGCTCCTGAGTGACCTTACTCAAATGTAGCCTCCTTCAAAGAATTCAAGGGACAAAGAACAAACACCAGAGCCCTACTATGTGAATAATGTTAGGAAAACCTCCATTCAAGGTCTGTAATAAATAGTAGTTGTAGCCAAGTGTTGTGGTGCACATCTGCAATCCCAGTGGCTTGTGAGACTGAGGCAGGAGGATCTCAAATTCAAAGGCACCCTCAGAACTTAGCAAAGCCCTAAGCAACTCAGTGAGACCCTGTATCTAAATGAAATATAAAAAAGGGATTGGGAATGTGGCTCAGTGGTTAAGTGCCCTGGGTTCAATCCCTGTTACCAATAAGATAGGTAGATAGGTAGGTAGATAGATAATGAAAGAACGAACAAGGCTCGTTGTTGGAACAAATGCCCTTTTATTGAGGAATAGCTCTGCATATTTATAGAGCCAGGGGTGGTTTGACAGTTGGCATGGGGTGCTTTCTGATTGGTGGGTAGGATCAGGTGAGCCAGCAGGGCTAGTCTGATTGGTGGGTAAGGATCATGTGAGCCAGCAGGGTTCACCATTGGATGGCAGGATCATGTGAGCCAGCAGGGCTCACCATTGGGCGGCTCTTCTTGGGGGATGGGGAAGTTAGTCTTTGGAGCCAAGACGGAGGACTCCCAACATTCACCCCTCTTTGTTATTAAATGAGAGTGGGTGTCAATTCATTCTGGCTGCTTCCTGCTGAAATGGAGCAGTGTGGGAGAGAGGAGGGAAGTAAGGAGCCCCCACAGGAGGGTAGAGAAGACCAGAAGGTTCCTTGCCACCACAGATCCAATGATGACATCAGTCCATTTGGCATAGGTCTCAACTGGAGGTATCATCAGTAACCAGGAGTTGATAATTCCTGAGGAGAAGCTGGTTAAAAGCTTGATTAGAAATTTTACCCACCTGAGTCTGAATGAACTTTATGATAGAGGGAAGGAACAGGCACAGGGAGTTTTTTTTTTTTTTTTTTTTTTAAAGAGAGAGTGAGGGAGAGAATTTTTTAAATATTTATTTTTTAGTTGTTTTTGTATGTTGTGCTGAGGATCGAACCCAGGCCGCACGCAAGCCAGGCGAGTGCGCTACCGCTTGAGCCACATCCCCAGCCCCCACAGGGAGTTTTTATAGCCCAAATCTAATGGGATCTCTGGGTCTGCAAGCTGCCTTGTTGGCCCAAGGGGGGTTAAGTGTTCAACCCTGAGTGGTGGTGGTGGTGGTGGTTGAGTGTTCAGCCTTGAGCAGGGGCTTGGGCGTTTGGGCTTGAAGCACACAGGGGTTATAGAACCAGACAGAGGGTTTGAGAAGCCAGGTCATTCTGCAACTAACTTTGTTTGGCATGCCCTGCAGGCCCTGCAGACAAGCCTGTCCTGCACTTAACACCCTCAGTTACACTCTTCATTCCTAGTCCAATCTAGCTCCCTCCCCTCTCTATTAAGGCTGCTCTTCAAACTTTCCCCTACCTAGGTGTACCAGATTGGTTCTCTCTTTGCCTTTCTCGAAGGTGGGCAAGGGAGGACAGTGGCCCATTGTTAACCATATTTCCCTTTGAGAGCAGTCAGATCTCTCCAGGTTTTATAGATAGATAGATAGATAGATAGATAGATAGATAGATAGATAGAAAGATAGATTGATTGATTGATTAGTAAGATAGATGGGTAGATCGTAGTTGCAACCTGTTTCTCTGATGATGCCTTCTCTGCCTATTGAGCTCCTCAGGAAGGAGGAAAGTCCACATTCAGATGTAATTGGACTTTTGAAAGCTCACAAGTCAGTAAATCTGTATCTTGACTCCATTGCATATATACAATTGACCTTGGGCAATTGATCTAGCACGTCTGAGCCTTCGTTTCTTCTGTTTCTTCGTTTGTATATCCCATTGAAAATCAGAAAATGTAAATGCACAGGGTGCTCACCAATTACTTCTAGCTTCCACTGCCACCGACATGCTTTGGTCCACCAGGTGGCGCTGTGAAGACTCCAGGAGCTGCCAGTAGACCTGGCACACTCCAAAGGTGCAGCCACACCAAGCCACCAGAAGTGATGGCAGCAGCTGGAAAGTAGACTCAGACTCTGTTGGGAGGCAACTCTATCAATCACGCCCACATCTCATATATGTGTGTTTACTCTAGGCCAGATGCAGAGGGAACGTTCAGAATGGCACTCACCGAGATGTTAACTATGGTAAAGGGACGATTTCACTTTTCAGTGTGTAACCTTCTGTGATATCTTTTTGTCACAGTAAAAGCTAGAAGAGGACTGGGGTTGTTGCTCGGTGGTAGAAAACTTGCCTTGCAAGTGTGAAGCACTGGGTTCGATCCTCAGCACCACATAAAGGTATTGTGTCCAATTACAGCTATTTTTTTTAAATAAAATATAAAAGCTAGAAGAAAAGCAAGGCAGGACTATGAGCTCTGGAAGAGATTAGTCATCCACTGCCTCTCCTGTCATCCCGAAATCCTCAAATCCATATGGAGGGAAATGTGCACACCTATACTACACTCGGCATGTTTGAGCCTAAACTGCCACCAGAATGCACTAATCCTCCTTGTAACCTTGACTGCATCATATGAAAACAGATCCTAAAGGTATTTATTTCCGGGCACTCTGAAGCACCCTGGAACATCTCATAACCATTGAGGGGTGCTGCCAGCACTTCAGTGTTCATTGTCCTGCCAAATCCCACTCCCTACTACCCCATCCCCCAACTACTAGGGATTGAACCCAGGGACACCTTATCACTGAGTTACACACCCAACTCATCTTATTTGAGATAGGATCTTGCTAAGTTCTGGAGGCTGGCTTCAAACTTGCCATCCTCTTGCCTCAGCCTCCTGAGTAGTTTGGATTATAGGCCAGTGCCACCATGCCTGGCTGCCCTGCCATTTTGTCAAGACATCTTCATCCTTTCATCCTCCTCCCCCACTTTATCTATTGCTTTGTAACAAATTACCTCAAAACTTTCAGCTTAAAGCAGCCATAAACATTCTCTTTCACCATTTCTGTGGATGAGGAATGTGGGAGATGATTGGGTAGTCTTGACTTAAAGTGAGTCATGAGGTGCATTCAAGATATTGAATAAGGCTGCAGTCATCTGAAAGCCTGATAGAGGCTGGAAGATCCACTTGTAGGGAGGCTGCATTAATCATGTTTATTTTCTGTATTTTTTATGTTTTAAGGTCTTGGGTGGGCAAGCTTACAGGCCTAGAGAGAGTGCCCCTCCTAGATTCCTAAAGATAGTTAAAAAGTTACTTAAGAGAATGCCTTTCTTGCAAGCCAGCCCCCTCCTTTATCTAGCTTTCACAATCTAGCCATTATATCTCCCGTCCTAAGTCATCCCAGTGAGACAGGGAACAACATGGGGACAGGATGTAGATGCTTTTCTGGGCCTTGGCTCATGGTCTAACAGTCGACCTTGGAAAGTTTGGTGTGTGCCACTCTCAGTCGAGGTCAGCTTTGCAGCATTTGTGGTCAGGGTACCCTGTATGTATTCTTTTACATTTTTATTTGTAGTACTGGGAATTGAACCCAGGAACATTCCACCACAGAGCCTATCCCCAGCCCTTGCCAATTAATATTCCCACCCTTGCATAACCTCTAAAACCCTTTTGTTCAGGGTTTTGTTTAAGTAACCACTAAAACCCTTTTCTAAATAGAAGCCCCAGTAAAAGCTTTCCTTGTGGGGCTGGGGATGTGACTCAAGCGGTAACGCGCTCGCCTGGCATGCGTGGGGCCCGGGTTCGATCCTCAGCACCACATACAAACAAAGATGTTGTGTCCGCCAAAAACTAAAAAAATAAATAAATCAATATTAAAATTCTCTCTCTCCGCTTTCTCCCTCTTTTAAAAAAAAAAAGCTTTCCCTGTATGTTTGCTAATCTGACTCAATTTCATTTCCATTGTCACAATACTTTTATTTTATTTATTTTTAAGTGGTGCTGAGGATTGAACCCAGGGCCTTGCATATGCTAGGCGAGCACTCTACCACAGAGCCACAGCCCCTTCATTTCCATTGTCATTGGGTCAAAAGATCCCTGTTTGCAGCATCACCAAGACCCAGGAAGGAACCAGGTAACTGGAGACCACATCTATTGCCCAAAGCCCACATGAATTATTCAGACTAGACAGTCCTAAGCCATTTACTCTGCCTTCCCCAAGGAAATACCAATTCAGGCTGTAGCCTAGGACACATTCTTGCTTCTCCTGACCAAACTGAGGCTTCCTCTGAGGCTCTGTGGTATCATGCTCTCTTGGTTAATGTAAATAAATTCATTTTTTTTTGTTTTGTGGTACTGGGAATTGAAATAAATTCTTCTTTCAATGGCATTGACTTCTCAGTGTTATCATTCAGTCACCTCTGTTCATTAAAATCCCATGGGTGCGTGGGCACCATGGTGCATGCTTGTAATCCCAGTGACTAGGGAGGCTGAGACAGGAGGATCACAAGTTTGAAGCCAGCCTCAGCAACCTAGTGAAGCCCTAAGCAACTTGGCAAGATCCTGTCTTAAAATAAAAAGGATTGGAGATGTGACTCAGTGGTTAAGTATCCCTGGTCAATTCCCCAGTACCCAATAAATAAATAATCCCACAGGTACAAATGAGACAGAGGTTGATTCCCATGGCTGGCAAAGTTGGCACTCAATGTTGACTGCAGCATTTCAGACCTCTCCACAGCTGCTTTAAAGTCTTCACAACAAAGCTCATTCCCCTCAGAGCTGGTGATCTGAAGAGAAGACAGAAGCTACAGTGTTTTCTATTCTTTTTTCACAGGAGTGTAGCCCCTGGAACTCCAGAGATTGAGGCAGAATTGCCTGAGACCCATACCTTTTTTTTTTTTTCTTTTTCTTTTCCATTTTGAGACATGGTCTAAGTTGTCCAGGCTGGTCTTCAACTTGCAGTGGTCCTCCTTTAGCCACTTGAATAGCTGGAACTATAGGTATATAGCTCTACACTCAGTTTCAGTGTTTCTTGTGAAGCCTAGAAGTCACATGTCACTTCTGTCATACTCTGTTATTCAGACCAGCTCTGAGTTAGTGTAGGAAACTATACAGGAGCATAAATCCCACCCACCACCACCACTACCACTACCACCACCACGAGGAGCCATCGGAAGCTGGCTGCCCCAGTGCCTAGAAGAGAGTATTTATTTGCTACTCAAAATGTTTTTCCTTCATTCACAAGAGAGTATGCAATTGACTCCCCTTCTCCCCACTACCCACCTTCCACCCAGAAGTTTTTCAAAATGTAACCCAGTTGGCACTGCGAAGAGGGTCAGGGTATACAAAGTCCTCAGAGCAAACTTCTCTCTCTCCCTCTCCCATCCATGTTTAAGACCAAGATAATGACAATGCATTCTTCAGTACTTAATGCTATAAATGAAAAATCTCTTTAGGTCACTATTGTAAATGTAAAAATATCGCTTAATTGCAGGTCCTCAGGAAGCTTTTCAATTATAAGTTTCTAACCAGCAATGTTTTGAGTCAGAGGATCCTTAGAGATTTGATGGGAGCCAAGGATTCTCTCTCCAAAAGAAAATGCTTATTCAGGGCTGGGGATGTGGCTCAAGCGGTAGCCTTGCCTGGCATGTGTGGGACACTGGGCTCGATCCTCAGCACCACATAAAAATAAAAAAATAAAGATGTTGTGTCCACCGAAAACTAAAAAATAAATGTTAAAAAAGAGAAAATGTTTATACACAAAAATTTGCAACCACCTTTATAGATGGTTGGTTAGGAATGGATAGATTTCCTCCCTGCCGACACATCCAGGCTTTAGTGCCTCTGTGCTGCAGTTGCTAGGACCTTGCACGTTCATATCTAATAAGGGCAATGATCAGAAAATGTCACTGGATTTTTTTTTTTTTTGGTAGTTGGAGATGAACAGCATGCCTTTATTTGTTTATTTTTATGTGGTGCTAAGGACGGAACCCAGTGCCTCACATGTGCTAGGCAAGCACTCTGCCACTGAGCTACAGCCCCAGCCCAAGTTCAAGTTTTAAAGTTTAAAAGTTCAGGTTTTAAAAATGTTACAGAGCTGGGAGAAAAGGAAACAAAGTTAGAATGAGAGAGCCAGTGTAGTAAAGGGATATCAAATGCTCAAGCGGTAGCACGCTCGCCTGGCATGCGTGCAGCCCTGGTTCTTTCCTCAGCACCACATACAAAGATGTTGTGCCTGCCGAAAACTAAAAAATAAATATTAAAAAATTCTCTCACTCTCTCTTAAAAAAAAAAGTGCAAAAGAGTGGCAAACAGATTCAGAATATTCAGTAAACAAAATATAGAACACTGAGCAAAGTTGGAACTTCTGGGAGAGGCAGACACAGTGGAGGCCTACAGAAGCAGGGGAGAAACCCTGGGAGGATTTTTCTGGAGGCAATCAGATTGGTACCCTGCCCTGTAAAGTCATGCAGTGCAGCAGAGGGGACTGAACCAAAACTGTCAAATAGACTGAACAAAAAGGCTGAGGATCTCAGGAGCCCTTGCCTGCCCCTTCCTTAGCGTTCTTACGAATAGGCCCTAATTTTCATTTAGATGGAGTTTGGTTTTTGCTGAGGGCCATTACCAAGTAGGTATGACGCATCGTAATCCTTGCCAGTGTACCCCATGTTAAATGGACTTGCCTTGGAAATTTGCTGCGACCTTGCTTGTGTGTTTGAGAAAGGTGACCCTGCTCAATCACCAGGGTGGATCCAGGATTAGGGTGTATTCCTGCAGGAAGTATCTCCGTCCTTGGGTTTAGGGCGTGACAATAGGAGTTTTAGGGAAGTTGAGGTTGAAGATTATTGATGCTGGGATTAGGGTGTTCCTGCTGCTTGTTCCCGTTGAGTTCTCGTGAGATTAAAATGGGATTTGAAAAAAGCCTTGTGGAGTAGGATTTGGATACGGATATTGGGAATTGCCCCTGAACGTGTGTGGAGGCTGGTGTGAGATCGGGAATAAAGAATTGCTGTTTGAACCTACAAAGCTGTGTGGTGGCTCATGATTCTGTGCCAAGCCGAGACATTGGCACTTGGCTTTCGGCAGGTTTTTCTTTTCTGGTGCTGGGTATTGAACCCAGGGCTTAAGCACATGCTTAAGCAAGTGCTCTACCATGGAGCTATATCTCAGCCCCTAAGTGCATTTCTTGAGCTCCTCTCTCCAAATTCTTTGGATTATGCTAAACATACATAACAGAAGCAAATACAAAAGTAAACACTACCTGAAACTTCATCCACAAATGAATGTAAAACTTCATCAGGAGTGGTGATGATGCAAATGAGGAGAAAAATGATTAGTCCAGTAGGCACAGAATAGGTCCCCTTACATCAATGGGCTTCCTGCTAAAGTGGGAACATTGGCCCAACACAGCCAAGAGAAAACTATCATGGGTACATTAATTTGACCACTGTGGTACTCAGTTATTCGAATATGGGAAGAAAATTTCTTTATTATTTGTATTTACACTCAGATAAAAAGTACTAGATAGGTGAGGTGGCAGTAGCTTCAGTCACCAATACCAATGCTGCATGTGCCTAACTCTGCAATAATGATTCCTGACAATAATGTCTGAAAATGTTTTTTGGTCGGGGGCAACGGTGGGTTGCTACTGCCCCCTAAATAGGTAGGGGCTGGGGATGCTGCTAAATGTTTCAGAATACTGAGTATCCCTTGCAAATTAACCAGGCTAAATGTCATAAGGATGAGTGTTTTCTACAGTGATAGCAACTCAGATGACTTGAGTCCCTATGAGAAGACATTTTGAACTGCTAAACCAGAAACTATCTTGCAGGAAGTGATGGCTTTTAGCCTTTTGGTCAAAAAGTCAAAGCTATAACTTGCTGGGGTAAAGCATGTTTAGCATGCCCAAAGCTCAGGGTTTAATCCTAGCAATCCTAGCACTGAGGAAGGTGGTGGGGGGGGGGGGGACGACAAGGGGAAGCAGCAGTTATAACCACTCTAGTAATGCTAAGCATTTCTTCATTCAAATACTAGCTGGATAATACCTACTAATAATCAGGCACTGTCACACTTTCTTTAAAATGGAATATGAATATATATATTTTTTTATTAGTATGCTCAAGAATGAACACTCTCCTGGGACAAAGAATATCTGACCATGTTGTGGCAGGAAATGGGTGAGGGCTCCAGAGCTGGTGCTAAGTGGCCACCGAAGAAATTCCATTCAAAGAGGATGCTTCCTGGATCCCATCATCTCTCTGTAGCTTCCAGCCAGGTCTCCATGATTTCCCCAGAATCCCTCATTCCAGCACCAGATGATACTTTTTCCCTTGCCACTCCTGACTCTTCCAAGATCCAGGTCGATTGTCCCCCTGCCTGTTCACCCATGTTGTCTTTGGAGTCCTGCAGCTATGCTGCTGCTCTGTCACCCTCAGGGTGTAGCTGGGGCAAGAATTTAACATCACATTACCAAAAGCACACGGGACATAAGCCCAATAACTTCAAAGAACACCTGTTTCCTCCCCAAATGGCACATAATCTTGAGGGGAGAGTAGGTGAGAGAAGGACATCATGATAACATGTACAGAGAGTCTGTATGCCAGGGACTCTAAGTCAGAGTGGCCAGTGTCCATTCCCATCCCATCCTGCACACGTGGGAGTGAGTGGATGAAAGCTGCAAGAGATGCCTCTCCTGGCTCAGGCAGGTTGCTACTGGCTCTTCCTGCCTTAGGTGCCACGATTCTGCTATCTGTTTTGGGTACTGGCTCATTTTTTAAAAGGGAGAGTAAAAGAACGGCTAAGGGTAGAAGGGGAGATGGCGAAAAACAACCCTGTAAAACAAAACAATACAAAAATCCAGAAAACAGATTTAGTACAATACTTTATAATAGAAAGCCGCTGACTACATGCTAAGACAGACAATATGATACACAACCTGGGGGTGGGGTTGGTGGGGAGAGCAGGGCAGAGGCCGGCCACAGGTTTAGACTAAGAGCCTTTCAATAGACTGCTGAATGGACTGGATCTGCTGCTTCAGTTGAGAGCCTTCTTTGATGGTGACAGAACAGGCAATGACAGGCCTGGAAACTCCACAGGCCCGCCCTAGGGCCTGCTTGGAACGCACAAACACATAGGGCACATTCTTGTCTTCACATAGCAGTGGGAGGTGCAGGATGATCTCCAGAGGTTCAGCATCTGCAGCCATCACAATGAACTCAGAGATGCCTCTGTTGAGAGTTTTGGTGGCTGTGGAGACAAACAGTCGAATAGGTGATAGGGGGCTTGAGCAATGCAGACCCAATAATTTCCCACAAAACCTCACCAATACAAAGCAGAGCAGTCGAATACTTCTACTGTGTGTGTGTGTGTGTTTGCACTGGGAATTGAACCCAGGGGCGCTTAACCACTGAGCCACATCCCTAGGCTTTTTAAAAATTTTATTTTCTTAACTTAGGGCCTCACTAAGTTACTGAGGTTGGTTTTGAACTTGCAATCCTTCTGCCTCAGCCTCCTGAGTTTCTGGGATTATGAGAATTCACCACCATGGCTAGAGTGTAAAGCTTCTATCTGCCACCTAGGTTTCAGTTCTGTACTCAAATTTTACCTCAGGAAAACCTCCCCTAAATATTCCATCTGAAGAGACATTTTCCCCAACTCTACTTTATCTTTAGCTCCAAGGCAGGGACTTAGTTTTGATCACCATTGCACTGTCAGCATATAGACATGTGCCTGACACACTGCAGGCAATTAGATATAGGAAGAATGAATAGTTGAAATAAGGCAGAAGATGAGGAAATTGTTGCCCCCCCCTTTCTGAACCCAAGTAAACACATTCTGAACCCAGCATCTCATTCAAGGACCCTCCCACCCATCGTCCTGGCACCTCTGGATCTAGCACCATGCAAGGTATGGCAGGGCAGGAGAAGTCAAGATGGTCCTTTCTGAATCCTCATTTACACATGGAGCAAGAACTCATGCCCCAATATCAGGCCAAAAGCAGGACTGAAAAGAGCACCATGTCTAACAGAGACACATGAATGGCTTGCTTTGTCTTTGTTCAGCAACACAGGTGAGTGAGCTCATAGTCATCCTGAATCTCAAACACAGGCCCAAATGCCTGTTGTCTCAGAATCTTTGGAGACAAAAGGACTCTCCCCAAGTAAACCACTTGCCACCAGACACTGAAAAGCATTAATATTCCTTTCCTTTTGATGGCTCTGGAGAGAGTACAAAGTTAATACAAATGGTTCTGCACAAGTAGACAAACAAATAAGATGCTTTATATATTAAGGGAGAAGGAAGGAGCGAGGTGTGGTGGTACACACCTATCATCCCAGCTACTTGGGAGGCCAAGGCAGAAAGATTGTAGGTGGAGGCCAGCCTGGGCTACTTAGCAAGTTTCAAAATGAAAAATAAAAGAGATAGAGGGGCTGGGGTTGTGGTTCAGTGGTATAGCACTTGCCTAGCATGTGTGAGGCACTGGGTTCAATTCTCAGCACTGCATATAAATAAATAAAGATCCACCAACAATAAAAATATTGAGAGAGTTGGGATGGGGCTGTGGCTCAAGCGGTAGCGCGCTCGCCTGGCATGCGTGCGGCCCGGGTTCGATCCTCAGCACCACATACAAACAAAGATGTTGTGTCCGCTGAAAACTAAAAAATAAATATTAAAAAAAAAAAATCTCTCTTTCTCTCTCTCTCTCTCTCTATAAAAAAATATTGAGAGAGAGAGAGAGAGAGAGAGAGAGAGAGACAGAGAGAGAGAGAATATGAATATGTAGCACAGTGGTAGAAAGCTTGCTCAGCATGTATGAAGCCCTGGGCTCAATTCCCAGTATCATTAAAAAAAAAAAAAAAAAAAAAAAAAGGTGAGAGAAAGAGAATGTGGCAAATTAACAAGGATGAGTCTAAAAATATTCTAAGCATATTAGCCTTTTTCATCTAGTCAAAATGCTGCTGCTCTCAAACCTTCCTATACCCAATCAAGAATATCCAGGGCATGGCAGTTCATGCCTATAGTCCTAGCTACTTGGGAGGCTAAGGAGAATGCTCAGCGCTAAGGCCCAGGAGTTTGGGGCCAGTGCTGGCAACATAGCAAGACTTGGTCTCAGAAGGGGGAAAAAAGAATAGAAAAGAAAAATTCTGGCCCTCCTGACAAATCAGAAATCTAGACCAGAGACCCCAGTAGACAGGTGCCGTCATCATTCCCCCAGCAGCACCCTGCAGTACCTTACCCTCATTGGCTCCTTTCCGAAGTTGCTTGTAGTTACATGACTGCTGAACGAGGTCCAACAGTTTCTTGGTGAGGTGGGCATCTGCAAGGGGATAAGCCTTCGGATTTACATCAGCCTCAGTCTGCAGGGGGAAATACCAGTCAGAAAATACTAATAAATTGAGTGACACAGGTGGTCAGTGTACTTCCTATTCCCCCACCCACACTTTTTTTTTTATATTTATTTTTTAGTTGGACACAATACCTTTATTTATATGGGGTGCTGAGGATCGAACCCAAGGTCTCGCACATGGTAGGTGAACACTCTACTGCTGAGCCACAACCCCAGCCTACACACACACTTAATATATTAACACTAGCCTGCCCACTCTCGGCTTAGAAAAAACTAAAATATACTATTAAGGCTAAAAGGGAAGGTAAGCAATTATATAGCCCAATAATGTATACTAAAACTTATATACTTTTATTTGCTTTTCTTTAGCCTAATGCCTGGTAATATTAGAGCAAATGGGTTATAAAAGGTCTCCTATGGTTCACCAGCCACTTGAGTTTCATGGGATAATCTTTAAATTAGGATTTCCATATCCACACTCCAAATTTACTGAATCAAAATTAAGATATAATTTACAGTAAACATAGCATAAACTTCTCTCTCCATTCCCCAAGTCCACCTGAAAATCTCAATTCAGTCCATAGCAAGTGGTTCCTAGTAATGACTACACTTCCTTGCTTATTCTACCCTATAATGCACACAAAATGGTTTATTCAAAAACTACTTCAATTCATTTTCTCTTTGGGATTATCAATTTGATATACAATTGACTGTACTGTTTGCTTTTTTTGGTACCGGATATTGAACTCAGAGGCACTCCTACTGCATCACACCCCCAACCCTGTTTTGTATTTTCTTTAGAAACAGGATCTGAGTTGTTTAGGGCCTTGCTTTTGCTGAGGCTGGCTTTGAACTCAAGATCCTTCTGCCTCAGGCTCCCAAGCAGCTGGGAGGGAGTACAGGTGTGTGCCACTGTGCCCACTAGACCCGCCCCCCCACCAGTGCTGGGAGTTGAACCTAGGGCTTCAGCCATGCCGGACAAGCACTCTACCACTGAGCCACATCCCCAACCTAGTTACTGTTTTTTTTTTTTTTGTATTTACCATACTATACATTTTAGTGTTGAGTGTACACCTACTTATAAGAAAATGTTTACCATAAAACAGGATGCCCTGTTATGCAAGCAGCATCCTTTGTAAATCTCTAGTTTACTGAATCTCCTCTTGCATCAAGAGGCCACAAAAGTGACTGATCTATTAACATCTAGATCTGTGTACACATCATGATATTCACATAACCACAAAATCGGCTAACAACACAGTTTTCAGAACATACACTGAAGCCAGAATTAGGCAGTGAGTATAGTAAATCAAGGAGGCCAATTTTGAGTCCTACAAATTGGAGACTGTACCCTGAGGGATCAAAATGTTAATTCCTTCAGAGCCCTTCCTCTACCCTTATGAAGAATCTCCCCCAGCTCCAACCTGTTGCCAAGGTAACCTGTCCCAGGAATTGTGTCTCTATACAGGGAACTATAAGGTTGATAATGTGTCCTGGATTGCTCCATACTGTCCTTTCCCCTTCAGCCCCCCTGTTTCCCACCTTTTGGCCATCCCACCAAGCATTCCTGGGCCTAGTCACATATGCAGGCAGGAGAAAGATACGGGGAAGAGGGCAGGAAAACAGAGGAAGCCTAGGACACATAAAAAGCCTAGGACACCTAGATTCTGGGAACACCAGGATACCAGCTATGGCTCCCTTCTCCCTCTGGGGAGAAGTCTATGTTACTCCTTTTAAAATAAAACTTGCTTTATATGCTTGCCTCAGCATGCTTCTTTAATGTTCAAACTTCAACATTTGAGGGAGCAGACACCTGGGCGATGTCATTACCTGTCCTTTAACGATGCATGACTGTACTAACTCCATACCAACCATTAGGGCAAGTGCTTAAGCAGCAGTACCACATTTGATTTCAAGATCTTCACTGTGAGGATGGCCTTAGGCCTGAGCCTAAGCAACTCCATTTTTAAAACTCCCAGTTTGAAACCTGCAAGTCTCACCAGGCAAGCCCTCCAGTATGGTCCTCAGGCACAAACAAGTCACTTCCCCCTGTCTTGATAAACTCAGAGTGAAGCCTCTGGCAGGCTATCCTCACATATAAGAGGAAAAGGTGAAAAGATCAGAGTGGGACCACCAGACCAGATTTTTTTTTTTTTTTAAAGAGAGAGGAGAGAGAGAGAGAGAGAATTTTTTTTAATATTTATTTTTATTTAGTTCTCGGCGGACACAACATCTTTGTTGGTATGTGGTGCTGAGGATCGAACCCGGGCCGCACGCATGCCAGGCGAGCGCGCTACTGCTTGAGCCACATCCCCAGCCCCAGACCAGATTTTTTTAACCTCAGGGTAAATGATGTCACTGAGAAATCCGGTGGTAGCTGATAAGGATTGAAAGGGAGATCAAAAGGCCCAAAATTTGGTATAAATAATAGAGCGAATGAATAGGGATTCAGCCAGCTGACACTGATGCCCACAAGCCTGAACCTCTGCATCGTTCTCACTGCTCTCAAACTCTACAGCCACATCTTGACCCTGATGGAGTGGCATCTTCTCCCTGGCCCCTCTCCTCAACTGGCTGTCAGCTTCACCCCAGGAGAAGCCTGCCTTCGTTCCTAATCTGATCACCAAGGTCTGAGTGACTGTGTACCTGCTTTACTTAAAGCCTAAGGCTTGAGACTTTTGACCTGACACTTGAACTTAGCATGCAGAGGCAATGTCTGTCATTAGCCTGTCATGACTGTGTTTGCAGTGCTTAGAATTAATTAATCTTGTTTGCTGTGAATTAATTAATCTAGAGTTGTTTGCTGCGAGTTGATTATGTCTATTGGAGTGCTTAGCATTAAGAATTGTTGTTTTTCTTGATTAAGAACCTATAGAATGAAATTGTATTGAGTGACTTAAGCATTGGAAAGGGCAGAAGCACATGGACATTCTATATTGCTCCCCCTGGACTGCATAAGTTGCATCTTTTGCCCATCGCTACACTCATGCACTGTTATGCTCATTTTATGGCCAAGAGAAAATACAACAAAGTTCAACCTGAAACCAGGAGCTTCCAAAACTTTTCACTGAACGTTGTTAAAAGGGGTACTGGTTTAGAAGCTTCAAGTTCTAGACTCTGCCATATACTGTCTTTATATAGCGCAGGGTGGGAGCAAAAATCAAAAGGTAATTCCAAAGGGGTCCAAACTTGGTAGGATTAAAACCTCACTATAAAATATAAGTTCTTTGCAAAAGTCTTCCCTTCTTACCAAGAGCCAACCCAAAGTAACTCCATCATGACACAATAATTGGAACTTTCGGTAGATGACTACAAGTTGGAGACAAATGCTAACTGCCGAATGCAGTGCTACTAAGCACCACCTTGGATTTCTGAGATCACGGTTTCGCAAGAAGAGCTATTCCTGTGCTCCAGACCACTCCACATTCCCCAAGGCCAGCAAACGCTCCCTGGCACGTGCTGAATCGCCACTAGGTGCAGACCCACGGAGAGCTCCCCGTCCTGAATACCAGGAACAGGGTGGGACAGGAGAGGCTGATCCGAATTACCCTCGCAAGGGTAAATAAACAAAAAGTAAGAGAAACGAAAGAATCATCAATTTTCCACCATATCGCCCACGTGGGCTGATCTCTCCCCCAGGTAGGGTCAGGCCCTCTCCTCTGCTCACCGCAGGCCTTCGGCCACGCACAAAGACTAATGCAATGGCCGGGCTCCTGCGGTTTCCCGAGTTGGGACCTGGGGCCGACTGTTGGGACCCCCGCGGCGGCCAGCGCTCCAACTCCGGGCCGGGCAGCCGGCGACTGGCGGCTGAGACCGCGCTCGTCCTAAGCCCCCACAGGGCGGCGAGCGACCCGAAGCCCGCGAAGCCCGCGCACCCCGCTTCCGGGTCCCGAGGCCCGGCTCACGCACTCACCATGGCTGCGGTCCCGTTGGCTCGCCGCTCTCCAACAGCAGCCGAAGTCGGCGGAGTCGGAAAGCCGCACGGACGGAGGAGCGGAAATGGCCGCGCGTGCGGCAGGAAGCGGAAGTGATGTCACCACGACCGGCGGACCTCGCCGCTAAAAGGCGCCTTGGTGAAAACCACGTGGGTCTGGAGAGGGGTTATGTTTTGCTGTCTTTATTAGCCGTCTACTATAAATGTTGATAGAAACTCAATCAGATATTCAGAAAGTAGCGCGCGAGACGAAGGGTTTCAGTGATGTCATCATCCTATCGCCAGTTCATTTTACTTTTTTGGTGCTGGGCATTGAACCCAGTGCACTTCATTTATTTAAAAAAAAAATTTAAAAACGATATATTTTTAATTGTGGATGGATACAATACCTTTATTTTATTTACTGGTTTTTATGTGGTGCTGAGGATCGAATCCAGTGCCTCACGCATTCTAGGCAAGCGCTCCACCACCGAGTTACAACCACAGCATCTATTTTATTTTATTTTTTTATTTTATTTTGAGACAAGGTCTCACTAAGTGGCTTAGGGACTCGTTGAGTTGCCCAGGCTGGCCTCGAACTTGCCTCCTGCTTCAGCCTTCTGGGTCGCTGGGATTATAGGCGAGGTCAAAGCATGTCTGTGGCACTGGAAGCTGCCACCATGTCCACCTTGCCAGTACATTTTTTAAAAAATATTTTTTCTAGTTGAAAGATGGACACACCTTTATTTTATTTGCTTATTTTTATGTGGTGCCAGGGAACGGATCCAGTGCCCACAACCCCAGCCCCACCAGTACTACTTTTTTTTTTATTGCGTTCCTATTTTTTTAATTTAATTTTTTTTTTTAGTTATAGATGGACACAATGTCTTTATTTTGTTTTTATTTATTTTTATGTGATGCTGCTGATGGAACCCAGGGCCCCAAATTTGCAAGGCAAGCGCTTTACCACTGAGCCACAACCCCAGCTCCATTCCTATTCTTTTAAAAGCATCCTTCCCACTACTCCACACTGGCGAGGGAAGATAATTATAGGTAATCCTAAATGTTATCTTCATCGTCAGATATCCCTTGTGAAAGTTTATGGTGAGGAATGGAGTTAGAATCAGGAAGAAAAGCAAGTTTGGGGTTGGTGGGTAAGGGTTGCATTACTGTCAGGTTCTTTGTAGTTATTTGCTGACCTGACTTGGACTTTCCTTCTGGTTAGCATCTTGCTCTGTGCTCCGTGGTGATCTAGATCTCTATTAATACAGGCAGGTCCTCCTTGATGTTTATGTCCATACTCATCTCTCTCCAACCTGCCTCCACAGGTCTTGGGATCATTAGTCAAAACTAGACTAATTGGGACTAATTCCAGTTAATTCCTTTGGAAATGTAGGAGTTGAGAACTGGCAAGACCCTTAGAAATCATGCAACACAACATTATCTTTACAGATAGGAAAACTGAGGTTCAGGAAAGGAAGCTTGCCTATGGTCACAGAGTGAGTCAATGGCAGAACCAAAACTGGACCCTGGGATTTTTGACACTCTCCTGGTTTATTTCCACCACATCTTGTTGCTCTACCTGAGATATTTTGAGGAACAGGACTATGGGAAGAGCTTGAGCTGTGTCCAAGTTTAAAGTTTGATTACATCAGAGATCCCTCATCAAACTTTACCTCTTGAAAATCTGATGTGACTTGTCAAAGAAAAAAAAATCTCAAAATTAAGTAATGTCCACCGAGGGCTCCAGTAAAGAGTAGAACCTGTGATGCAGACTCTGCTCCTTGCTTTTGTTGGATCCTGGGTTTTTTTGTTTTTGGGGGAGTTTTTTGGCTCCATATTATTTGGACCTATCAGCTACTATTGTTGAGAAATGAAACATTATCCAATTTCAGTCATAAATATGTTCTTATTGTTTGCTTCCTAGATGTCCTTTAAAACAATTTATGATTACTATTTGATCTACCTGACACCTTGAACTGTCGTGTTCCAGATCTTCCTAGTAGTGACTGATAGGGATATTTTTATGATCATGGGTAATGAGAAAGTACATGTTACTTAATTGTCTAATTAATTTTGCTTCACAACTAGATAATTTCTCAACCTCCATGTTTTCTCAGAACATCTCATCCTTTTAATCTTGCTGTTGTTTCCCTAGCTAGTAAATTAATAAATGCTGATATGATCTCAGGATTAATTTATTTTAGAAATTTACATCACCAATGTGCTTAAAACACATTGTGTGCCAGGTGCAATGGTGCACACTTGTATTCTCAGTGACTCCGAAGGCTGAGGCAGGAGGATCACAAGTTTAAGACCAAACTCACCAATTTAACAAAACTTTGTTTCAAAATAAAAAATAAAAATGGCTGGGGACAGCCAGGCACAGTGGCACATGCCTGTAACCCCAGCAACTTCAGAGGTGAATGCAGAAGGATCTCAAGTTTGAGGCCAGCCTCGGCAATTTAGCAAGACCCTCAGCAGGTTAGCAAGACCCTGTCTCAAAATTTAAAAAGGGCTGGGGATATAGCTCAGTGGTAGAGTGCCTCTGAGTTGAATCCTTGGTACAAACAAAACAAAACAAAAAACAGAAACAAAAATACTCCAAATGTTTGACGTGCCTCTCTAGGCCCCTTTCCACGAGTATTTTCTCAGGCCTTCATGTTACATCTCCACCCACTATCTTTTGCTGTTCTGAGTACAGCAATTTTTTTTTTTCCAACCCCATCAGTCACCCTCTGCTGGGACTGTGCCATGATCTGAAAATGATTTGTCCCCCTCCCCATCAACTCATACAGAAGTTTAATCCCTGATGTCACATATTAATAGTATTAAGAGTATGGAACTTTATCCACTTTGGTGTTTAGAGGTGGGGCCTTTGGGAAGTGATTAGGATTAGATAAGGCCATTAGGGTGGAGCCCCCATATTAAATCCTGATGGATTTTTAAGGCCGGGCAGGGAAGGAGGGGAAAGGTAGAGAGGGGAAAGGGAGGAGGGAGGGAGGGAAACAGACTACGTATACATATGTTTGCTCCCTGCCTCATGCCATGTGATGCTCTGTGCCACCTTGGGACTCTGCCAGAAAGAAGGCCATCACTAGATAAGGCCTCTTGACTTTGCACTCCAGAACCATGAGCCAAAATAAATCTTTTTTATTTGTAAAGTAGCCTGCCTCAGGTATTTCATTATAGTAACATAAAACATATTAATATAGCTGGGCATGCAGCATTCCTGTAATCTGAGCATTTGGGGAGGCTGAGGTAGGATTGCAAGTTTAAAGACAATCTAGCAAGACCTTGTCTCAAAATAAAAAATAAATCGTCTGGAGATTGGTGATGTAGCTCAGGAGTTCAATCTCCAGTACTACTACTTACTACTACTAACAAACAAACAAAAAATCCAACAGACAAAAATAGAGTGATTTGTTCCACTGTGCTGCTTGCTGAGCTAAGTCCTATTTAACATCTCTCATTGAAATCTCCTTAATCACCCTGACTAGGTAATTGCCCCTACTATACGGGAGCCATAGTTACCTCCACTTGATCTTTATAGCACTTGTTGGCTTTACTTTCTTCAGTGTCTATCTTCCCAATCACAACAAGAGCTCCAGGAGAGCAGAACATGCAGCTGCCTTGGGCCCTTTGGAAACTGTGGGATTCTCCATAAGATGGTGTTAGAAAGCATTTATTATAGATGTAGGCTCGTATTGGGTGCTTTTGAGGAGGGTTCAAAGAAGTTGGATATGCTCTAGATCAGATATGTCAGAAAGTATGGGTTTTTCTTTCTTTCTTTTTTTCTTTTTTGGTACTGGGGATTGTGGGGATTGAACTCGAGGGCATTCAACCACTGAGCCTCTTCCCCAGCCCTATTTTGTGTTTTATTTAGAGATAGGGTCTCACTGAATAGCTCAAGGGCCTTGCTAAATTGCTGAGGCTGGTGGTGAACTTGCATTCCTCATGCCTCAACCTCCTGAGTCACTGGGATCACAGGTGTGCGCCGCTGTGCCTGGCAGTTTTTTTTTTTTTTTTTTTTTACTTCTTTTCATTCCTTTTGAGCACTTATCCAGCACTGTTCTTACCTATATCCTAGGCATGCAAGCTCAGAGCAGTGACTGGAGCTGAGGCTGGGGCATCCTTTGTGAGGTGGCCTTAGTGACAGAGGTGCTACGAAGCAGAGGCTGCCCCACCCCAAATTGACTGGGTCCGCCACACCAGCCTTGCCCTCCAGCTCCCTGACACCATCTGCAGAACCTAAGCACTGTCATGCTGCTGCCGCTGCTGGGCGCCTGTGCTGTGGTGGGGCCATTCCAGGGTCCTGAGTGGGAGCCAGTTCGGGGCCTGATCTCACAGGATTGCAGCTGTAGAGACCCCCGGTGCTGTGGCAATCTGCTTGTTCTCTGCCTCTTTCTGATCTGGCAGGTCCGGCACTATTGGCACCACTTCACCAGGAATCGCCTGCGCAGAAGGAGTATTATCAAGGTGAGGGGGCCCTTCACACTTCTACTGTCTTTCCCTCGGCACCATCATTGCCACAACCACATGCTACAAGGACCCTGTCATATGCCCTGTGTACCAGAGATGAGTAGCTCAGACTAGTTACAGCAAGCATCATCCAGACCCCAACATAGGAGCTACTCTCGACTCCTGTCTTTTCCTTGCTCCACACATTGAATCCACTTGCAAGCCACGTCTCAAATCTGATCACATCTTGAAACCTCACCATACCACCTTAGGCAGAGCTGCCAGCAAGACTCACTTGAACCTCAGGAACAGCTTCTGCTTGGTCCTGTTGCCTGTCTGACCCAGCCGTGGCAGTCTTCCACACTATGCACCTGCCATAATGACCTTTCTCTCTTTCTTCCTACCCCACCCACTTCGGTGCTGGAGATCAAATCCAGGATCTTATGCATGCTGGGCAACTGCCCAACCACTGAGCTATATCCCCAGCCCTGCCTTCTCTCTCTCTCTCTCCCCCCCCACCCTCTCCCTATAAGTTGAATTCAAAGATAATATGCACACACAAATCACAAATGTATAGACCAGCGAATTTTCACAAATAGAACACACCCAAATGCCAATATCCAGGTTAAGAAACAGATCGCTGGGCAGACGAGGGTTGCTTAGTGGTAGAGTGTTTGCCTGGCTTTTCTGCAATCATATGGCAAATGTTCTATGCCTGGTTTAAATCCAACAGTATACTTGTAGGCCAGAAAAAAATAACAACAACTTTTTAAACAAGTCATAGCATTTTGCTGCTGAAATGTTTCCTGTGAATACATTCCTTGTCAAATTCAGAGTAAAACCCGAACTTCTAACCCCGTCTCCAAGACCTTTTCTTGCTGCTGGCTCCATTCTGGACATATGGGCCTTCTTGCTTTTCCTGCACACATGATCTTATTCTATCTTCAAGGCTTTTCCAAATGTCTCCTTTGCCTACAATGCTCTTTCCTCACTTGTCACTTGGTTTGTCCCTCACTTCCTTCAGGCCTCCATCAAATACCCTCTCCAAGAACCCTTTAATGGCTACTTTGTCTAAAGAAGCTAACTCCCATCCCCACACTCTGATTTATTTGCATTTAAATACTTTTTGATACCTAACATTATGTTATATATTTGGTTATTGTCTTTCTTGCATGTCTAGAATATAGCTCCCAGAGGGATTTTGTCTTGTGCCCAGCCCAGAATAATCTCTCAGTCTTTTTTGAATGAATGAACACTGTTTGCCTTAAGGGGGTGACTTCTCCTTTCCTGAGCCCAGGCATCTTTCTCTGGATAATGGGGATAGTCATTCTGATCTGTGGGGAGTACATAAGCTAATCTATGTACAACATTTAAAATTTTTTTTTTAATTTTTTAATTTGTTCTAATTAAGGAATTTTGCTTTTTTGGATCTCATCTACAGGTGCCATCGCAGAAGTGGGCAATGCCCTCCATGAGATGTGAAATTTTCTTTAGGCTAGCTCCTGAATTCGTCAGTCCTGGCGATTTCAGAGGCCGTGATGCTCATGTCCAACAATGGGTACAAAAGCAGAGGTGGAGATACCGAAAGAGCCTTTTAGAATCATGGACCCAGAACCTGTTCTCTTCACAAAATCTGCTTCAGGACTCATCTTGGGGTGCTCACACCTCACATGATCCCGTCTTTTGTATCTCCTCCTTTTCAAGCACCTGTCCACTCTCTCAGGACAGTTCCTGGGAAACATGGCAGGTATCCTGGTGTCTCAAGGGCAGCCAGACTCACTCTGCCCTAGACACATGCCAAAGGATTGGGCGACTGCTGGTTCACTCCCAAGAGAAGTTGGTACCTCTGGAGCATGTCCTCAGCAGAAAAATCTGTTCCCCTCCCACGACATTTGTCATCTCTCTCCCAAAGCTCCCTTCAGCTCAGAGGCTACAATTCTGCTCTGGACAGTTTCTGCCTTATCCTGCCCACCAACAAATGGTAATATCCACCTGGAAGTTCTGGAATAACCCACAAGACACCTGGGCACCATTGAGTGAAACCCAGATAATAGGCAGAGAGTATTCTAGAAAGACTCAGGCCCCAGGGTGGGCAAACCAGAGAGAGAGCAGAGGGGTATATGCTTGGGAAATCCAGGCATCTAGGGGCCAACTCTCAATAGACTTTGGAATGGATCATTGTGCAGAGGCTAAGGATCTGGAGTGCAGAAACCAGTCACTGGTTATAAATGAAACTGATGGAGAGATCCTGATTCCGGGGCAGAAGAACCGGATGGAAATTGAAAATCAAACCCAAATTGAGGAAGTAGGGAAGAAAATCCAGAGGGAGGCAGGAGGTAAGAACCCTCCTGAAACCCAGATTCACATGGGAGAGAATCAAGAACAGTTAAAATGTAAAGTTGATGCAGAGACCCAAACACCATGGTGGGGATACCAGGAGAAGAGTGGGGGTGGGGGTACTTTGGAGATACAGACATTTGAGAGGAAGAACAAGAAAGAGCCCAGAAAGGAGGAAGAGGGAGAGATTCAGGCCCATGGACTAGGGAAGCAGGGCCAGACTGGAGATGAGAATGCTGTAGAGGCCCAGACTCCAGAGTGCAGGAAACAAAACCAGACTGGAGGTGACCCTAGTGCAGAAACTGAGGCAGAAGAAGGGAGAAACAAGGATCAGATTGGAAATGAGGATGCTGTGCAAACCCCGACATCTGGGAGGGAGAACCTGGAAGACGTCAAACAAGAGAATAGAACAGGGAGCCAGGCCCTGGGATGGGGCAAACAGGAATGCAGCAGAAGTGATAATATTACAGAAATCCAGGCACTCATGGGGGAGAAACAGGGTCAGGGTGGAGGTGAGAATGCCAGAGAGACTCAGGCATCTAGGGGAGAGAAACAGAAACTCTCAAGACATGCAGTTCAAGTGAGGCAGGGAAACCAAGGCCTGGGAAAAGGAGAGGAGGCTGTGCGACCCAGGATGTCTAGGAGGAAGAAGTTGAAGGAGATAAGAGAGGAGGATTGGGTGGTGATCCAGACACCCTGGTGGGGAAACCAGAGCCCAGTAACGAATGAAATTGACAGACAATTCAAGATATTATGTTGGGGGAATAAGAACCAAATTGGAGGTGGACCCAGAGCAAAAATTCAGTCACCAGAGGAGAAAGATAAGAGGAAGGATGGAGATGAGGATGGTATAGATACCCTGGTGCTTGAGGCAGAGAACCAGGGATTATTAAGAAATGAAGTGAATGAGGAGACCCATTCAGCAGGAAGGAAGAATGAGGAGCAATTTGGAGTTGAGAATGGAGCAGACATTCAGGCACTAGGGAAGAGAAATCCAAGAGAGTTTAAAGACAAGAATGCTACAATGAACCAGGAACTTGGGGGAGAAAATCAGGGTCAGTTAGAAAATGAATTCCATGGAAATATTTGCATACCACAGTGGAAGAATCAGGAGCATATTAGAGGCAAGGATGGTGCAAACACCCAGATACCTGAGGCAAGGAACTGGGGAGAATTAACAAGTGAAAGTGATGGAGAAACCCATTCAGCAGGGTGGAAGAAAGTAGAGCATATTGAGGGTGAGAGTAGTGCAGAAATTATGTTACAAGGGATGAGAAATCTGAGAGAAGCAGAAGAGGAGGATGGTATAGAAACCTGGGAAGGTGGGGAGAGAAGCCAGAGTCACTCAGGGAGTGATATAGATAGGATGATTCATTCATCACAATGGAAAAACCAGAAGCAGATGGAAGGTAAGGATGGAACAGAAATTCTGTCCCCAAAGAAGAGAAAACAGAGAGAACCTGAAGGTGAGAATGATATAAAAACCCAGAAGCCTGAGAACCAGGGACAGTTAGAGAATGTAATTGGAAGGAGCCATTCCCCAAGAATGGGGAGCTGGGGGAAGACTGAAGGAGAGAACATTGCAGAAAATCAGGCATCAGAGGAGAAAAACCAGAGAGAGGCTGGAATTGAGAATAGTAGAAAGGTTCACATACCTAGGGAGAAAAATCAGAGTCTGCTAAGAAGTAAAGTTCATAGAAAGACTTGTTCATCAGAATGTAAAGTTCACAGAAGAACCTGTTCATCAGGATGTAAAGTTCACACAAGGACCTATTCATCAGAATGTAAAGCTCACAGAAGGACCTGTCCACCAGAATGTAAAGTTCACACAAGGACCTGTTCATCAGTATGTAAAGCTCACAGAAGGACCTGTCGACCAGAATGTAAGAAACAGGAAGAGATTGGAGGTGGGAATGGTGCAGAAACTCAAATACGAGGGAAGAAAAACCCAAGAAGGACTACAGGTGGTGACTGCACAAAGATGCAGGCATCTGTGGAAGATGACCCGGGACAGTCCAGAAGGGAAATTGATGGAGAGGTTCAGAAACAAGGGCAAGGAAACCAGAACAAGGGTGGAGATGCTGCTGCTGCTGCTACAGAAATCTGGAATGTAGAGAGTCAGAAAGTACAGAGCTAAGGATGATGGAGGACCTCAGACATCCAGGAGAGGAAACACGAGCCAAATCAGAGAAAAGGATGCTATGGGGGCCAGTCACCAAAGGGAATATCCTTCAGGTGAGAGGCTCACAGGCAGGAAATGCAGCCGGGCTGGGCCAACCACCCTCACTGGCTCTAGATATGAGCCCTTGGGACAAGAACAGGTAGCAGCTGTAGACAGGGTAGCTGAGGCTTCCTGTCCTGAGATGAAGCCTCGCCCCCACTTGGGTGAAGTTTTCTTGCTGGCTACTGGGGAGGGAGAGCATTTGACCAGCAAGGGCATAGCCCCTGCCAGGGAGTACAAAGCCCGGGTCAGACTAACCTCCCAGCAGGCCCAAACAGGATCCCGGAGAAAACCACAAAAGCACAAAGGGGTGGATCCAGGAAAGATCCACAGAGTGACACAGCCCCAGAACCCACAGTCTCTGGCTGCTCCCTTTGGCAAGCCCTCTGCCTGTCCCTCTCTTCTATGTGGCCAAGCCCTCCAAGCTACCASTACTTTGGTGGGTATTCCAACTACCCTCACCATCCCGCCCAAGTGGCCAGTCCTCAAGAAGAGCAAACGACTGCTCTTGGAGTCCCTCATGCGTCGAAGGATTGCACATCTGAAGTGGGGCCTCCCCCGGCGCATCCTGGAATCTTATTTGCTCTTTAGCTTCTTCGGATCTTGCTCACTCCCCTGGGCTGGGGTGAGGCTGCCTGAATTAGGCAAAGGCCAGGAACTCCAAAGACAGCAGGAAAAGCACTGTGAGGCCCAGGGCTCCATGCCAGGCTTTAAATCTCCAGAGAGGTTCCAAAGGGTTCTGCCCTCTGATGGGAAAAGATCAAAACTTCCTACACAGGCCAGGGCTTTGGAGAGGTGTAGACCACACAGGTCAGAGCCAATGGGCACTTCCATTCCACCTGAGAAACCCAGGAGAAATAGACCACCAGGGGGCGCCAGAGAACCACAGATCCAGGAAGAGGCCTCTAAGGCCAAACTCCCTGTTCCCAAGAATCCCAGGCCATCGGCAGAGTCTGTGAACTGGTGCTCCCCAGAAAGAGTACCAGAGCCTTCCAGTGAGAACAGTAAGGGCAAGAAAGTGATCAGGCCAGATGTCTCCCAGAAGGCAGAGAGGGTTCCCAGAGAATTGAGGACCTCATCTTCCAGGGCCAGCCATGACCCCTGGAAGAAGGAACACATACTCTGGGAGACCTCTCAGTTCCCCAGACATAAATATCAGCAGCCCACACGCTGGAGAAGAGAAAGCCTGGAGCCTGCAGAGGACAGAGGAGCTAGGCAGCTGCCTCCCTCCGTTTCCACAGACTCCTCCAGCATTAAAGGAAGTCTCTACTCTAAGACAGCCAAGCTGAGCATGACCCTCCTGCGTAAAATGTCCTGGTCCCCACAGCTGGCCAAGCCCAGGAACTCAGTCCCTAGGCTTTCCAGAGTGGGTAACCCTCATGCTCGGGAGGACAGCATCAGAGTCCATACTGCTTCGGAGAGGGACCATCAACCACCAGGGCACTGTAGTGCTGGGGTTTCTCTTCCTAGGACAAAGACCCCCCAGGGTCAGAGACCCCATGGGGCTCCAAAGAATTCATCAGCTCCTAAAAAGTTTGGTTTTATGAAGCGTTTGAGATGTTTTCTCTTCCAATGTGGTCTTAAAAAGTAGGTTGCAGGCCCAGAGTCCTCAGGACTCATCAGAGAAGGCACAAGAGTGGTTTGCTCACCCACAGAACCTCTAATAAAATTATTTGGGACCTGTAGGATTTACATTTCTTTGGCATATCATGTTTTCTGAGTGTCTCTTTTTAGGGTTTGGCAGACTTTGTGTGTAGGGCAGAAATCACTTCAAGTCTGTGGTTTGTTCCTGTTCTTTGTCTGTCTGTCTCTCTCTCTCTACTAGGGATTGAACCCAAGGCCACTCTACCATTACCATAGAGCTACATCTCCAGCCCTTTTTATTTTGTACGTTTAGCTTTTTGTTGTTGTTGTTTGTTTTGTGTTTTGTTTTTTGCAGTCTGGGCATCAAAGCCAGGGTTTTGTGGATGCTAAATAAAAACTCTATCATTGAGCTGTATCTCCAGCCCTATCCGTGAAATGTTAACAGACATTTTTCTGTGTTAATATTTACTTTTCTCAAACATAAAAGACTATTTCATAATCTTCCATTGAATAACAAAATTGAATAACAAAACTACTGTTTTCTAAACTACTCTGCCCTGGAGAGCAATTTTTCCAATCACAGAGCCTTTGAATGCAGAAACACAGCTCTTGAACTTTTACCTCCTTCAACATTAACCAGTTTCTGGGCACATCTGTGTTAATGCCCTGTTGATTGTTGGCTTGTAATTGTTGATATATTCTATGGTAAAATATTTTCTTTTTCAGTATTGCTTGTGCACTCATATATTCCTAATCCTCCCTGATATAATTAAGGGAGTGCCTTAACTTCTTTGAGAGAAAGATGTCATCTTGTAAATTTAAAATAATACCAATAGCTTATATATATATATATTTTTTTTTTTCCCAAAAAGTTCTATGACAGTTTATTTCCTTCCTTCCTTCCTTCCCTCCTTCCTTCCTTCCTTCCTTTCTTTTTTTATGGTCCTGGCGATTGGACACAGGGACTACCACTGAACTATATCCCCAGCGCCTTTTATTTCATTATTTTTTTAAGAATTTTTTTTAACTTTTATTTTATGAGGTGCTGATGTTGGAACCCAGTGCCTCACACGTGCTAGGCAGCCACAACCCCAGGCCCCTTTTATTTTTATTGAGACAGGGTGGCTACATTGCCCAGGCTGCTCTTGAACTTGTGATCCTTTTGCCTCCCTCTTCTGTGTTGGGATTACAAACAAGCACAGCTGTGCCTCTTTTTCTTTTTTTAAAAAATAAAAACAGCGGGGGCTGGGGATGTGGCTCAAGCGGTAGCGCGCTCGCCTGGCATGCGTGCGGCCCGGGTTCGATCCTCAGCACCACATGCCAACAAAGATGTTGTGTCCGCCGAGAACTAAAAAATAAATATTAAAATTCTCTCTCCCTCTCTCTTTAAAAAAATAAAAAATAAACAAAAATAAAAACATTGTTTTCTTTCCTCCTTTTGGTAAGGCCGAGGGCAGCTACTTTATGATTGCTTTCAACCTTGGTGTTAGGGTTTGGATGAGAGGTGTTTCCAAAAGCTCATGTGTGAGACACTGCAAGAACATTCAGCGGTGACATGATCGGGTTGTGACAGCCTTAACCCAATCAGTGAACTAATCCCCTGACAAGGATTAACTGGGTGGTAACTGAGGCTGGCTGCATCTGGACAGCCAGTCTCTGCCTCCCTCTGCCACACTCTTCCACCATGATGATCTGCCTCGGCAAGCCTCTAGGAAGGGAGCCTGCTGTCCAGGGACTGAGACATCTGGAACCATGAGACCTCCAATAAACCATCCCTCCTCTAAAATTCTTGTCAGGCCTTCTAGTCACAGCAGCGAGAAAGCTGCCTAAACCACTTGGGGGTGGTGAGGCCAATTTCTGAGGCCCATAAGCATGCCTTCTGGGGGCTTGGCTAGGCGCGCTGGGACCCCGCAGCGCGGTCAGGCAGCGCCGGCACGCACGCGCAGGCCGCACCTGCAAGTGCGCATGCGCCCAAACTGGGCGGGAAAAGTGAGGAGCAGCGGAGCATGAGTGAGGAGATGGCTGTGAGACAGGCTGCAGCGGTGTCTGGGAGGGACGAAGAGGCGGTGCTGCTCCTGGAGAGGGTCCATTATCGACATGACCCGCGCTGGCTGCTGCCCGTGTCCCCACGGCTCTGCCTGGCCTGCGCGCTGGAGCTGCTGCCGGAGCGCGGCGTGTCGGTGCGGGCTGATCCCTTCCCTGGGCACCAGGGCTTGGGCGTTTGCTGGCCTGGGGTGGCCGCTGACCCAGCCAGCTCCCGCGGCCCTGGTTGACCTCCTCCTACCCAAGCCTGCCCACCCCGCCCTGCTTTGAAACACTTAATTTTTTTTTTCTCTAGTTGTCAGTGGACCTTTATTTTATTTATTTGCGGTGCTGAGGATCGAACCCAGGGCCTCGCACACGCCAGGCAAGCGCTGTACCACTCAGCCCCAGCCCCAGCCCTGCTTTAAAGCACTTTTAAAACGCCTGCAGGTGCCCATGTGGAGCCGCAGCCCCTTTTCTAGAGCGTCCCCTGCCTGCTGGTGCTGTGCCCAGGAAGATTGGCCAGCGCACCCTCCTCCAGCCCTGCCCTCCAGCCCTGCCCTCCAGCCCTGCCCTCCAGCCCTGCCCTCCAGCCCTGCCCTCCAGCCCTGCCCTCCAGCCCTGCCCTC